AAGTTTTTAAATTATTTTTTAAAATAGTAAGGAACTGCATTTTATCCATAGTGGATTCCACAAATTCCATTTTACCCATACCTTTTGCTGCCGTGCAGCCCCACAACATTATGGAATCTCGGGCACACTTAATCGTAGCTCTTGTGTTACTTTTATGAAATTATGTATTTCGTTGCCGCCATACGATTTTCTGGTCAGTTTTATTAAATAAGTTAATTCTGGTTTCATCACTGAATATAACATTGTTCCAGAAAGCTACATATGTTGTGATTAACATATTTTTTTGCGAATTCAAGACGCTTTGTACGATTAACTTTTGAAATAAATGGTTTCCTGCGGGCGATTCTTCCATTGAAACCTTCTTTGCATAAAACCCGACGAACTGTTTCAGTCGATATTGTTTTATTTATTCTTAACAAAACACTTTTGGCTAATTCTGGTACACTAAGCTTAGGATTTATCTTAATTTGCCTTACAATATAACGTTTATTACTTACAGACAGAATTTCTTTTCTTCCTCGACCTGCTTTGTTCTGCAATGTGCCTTCGTATTTAAATTTATTTATTATTTTCTGTATTGTTGAATGTGTTATACCTATTATATTACCACTTTCGCGTAAACTCTTGCCTTTACAGTATAAGTTTACTACTAATTTTCGTATTGAAATATCCGTTTCTTGTCTCGGAGAGGTCATCTTGGAAACAATTGAAAAATGTGATTCAACAAATGCTAATCTGTCGATTCAACAATTAAATCATATTGTTTAGACATCTTCAAACTGTTTCTCAATAGTACCACCATTACATATGTTTTATAAAATACATTTTTTAGATAACTTTTCACGTGTACGCTTAATAACGAATAATTCCACATTATTCTTAATTTAAGACGATGTAACCTTTGCTGCACGCTTCCCTCGATACCCACGTTGTGTCAATGCGTTTGTTCACAACCACGACCGAGCGCGGCGAGAGCCAACACTCTTGTGGTTGAGCGCGCGCTCTGATTGGCCAGTGTTTTTCGTTAATAATTCAAAAACGAAGCTTCATTCAATATTTTGGTAAAGGAAAAAGTGGTTCAGAGTCACCCCAGCAACCCCCCATTTCCCGGTGTTCAAGGAGTTACGGGGTACCCTGTAGTTTCTTGATGATTATTAATCCTTAGTTGGTACGGTGATATTTTGGTCACGTAACTGGCATCGTAGGAACAATCATGACCCATTAGTGTTGAGTGGAATATTATTAACCCTTTCGTTACGGCAGTCCGCTCCGCTGGAGTGACGCCATTGAACGGGACACCGCGCCGCCGGAGTAACGCCACTGAACGCGTGATTCTTGTCCCGATTGCTTCCAAACCAGTGCATGTTTTATTTTTGGAGTAAAACAAATGAAGAACGAACCAAAGAATGACAAGTGCCATCGATGTGCAAGATGCATACAAACAAAAGAAACAAGAATATCGCGGGGCCGGTGATCAAGCGGTACCACGCTGACGCCAGCTACAGCCGGCGCTCGTACACACAGGTCATCGCGTGGATGCCGGCTATAGCCGGCGCTCGTACACACAGGTCATCGAGTGGATGCCGTCTATATCCGGCGCTCGTAACGAAAGGGTTAATAGTTGTGTGGTGTGTACATAAAAGTGATAAAATGGATTTTTTTCTCTTCTATATTCTATTCTTAATTATATAAAATAATGTGAAACGAATAGAAATATTAACGGGACATGTTAATATAGAAAATATAATAGTATGGGTATAACAAGATTAGATAATTAAAGCAATATAATAAACAAATAAACGAGGTATGAACTAAACTTTTATGAACTATTTTAATTATTTTCGCGTCGTATAAAAAATCTGACATGGTGATGTTAACAAATATTGAAAATAAGTGTCTTTGTTATTGCATTTTGTTATTGAAACTGTTAGAATTTGAATGCAGATACTGCTTAAGTGAGGGAAGAAAATTAATCCACAGTTAACAAAGTAACCTATTCTTTAATATGATGAATAAAAATAACGAGATACATCGAATCGCATGTCTGTTGCCTTTTTTACACGTTTCGCTTTAGGGGAGTGTATGTGCGTCGCAGCGTCGGCAATTTATTAGCGACGATTAAACGACGCGGAGGAATTTCACTCGTTGAAGTCCAAGTCGAATGTGTATGAAGTGGACTGTATTTTGTATATCGAATGATACGAAATGTATTTTTGTATGTATGCACCAAGTGTACAGTTGTGTATAATGTTGCGATGTGAATACTTGTGTGTTAAACTACGAAGTCAATACTTGAGTGGTAAGCAACGATCTCTGAAGTATCCTCTCGTCTCCGATCGTGACACCTCGAAGAAGGATTGAGTACGCTGATTGGTCCTCTTTGATTTTCCAATTAGCGCATTTTTGCCATTTCTTAAAATTTAGGTAACGCCCTTTAGCCAGCCCTTCTCAGAGCGGGGGTGAGGGCACTGTCTAAGTATGGGGGGTTTCTCGAAGGTTCGATGGGTCGCGGAAAATTCCTCCAGGTCGACTCTTAACTACAAGGACCGTTATACACATGTTTTAGCCGACCTTTCGGAAATACCGAGTTTATGACCTGGTCGGTTATTAAGACGAACGAAACGAAATTCTAAAGCTATTGTGTAAAAACTACTACTATCGCGAAGGCACAAATTGCCGGTTATAGAAAAAATAAGACTCTGAAACTATTAACGAAAAATAAACACGAAAATAAACTGTCTGTCACGTCCATGTCATAAACTAACCTTCGAGAATCTTTAATTACGGTGTTCCGTATCGGACGGAACAGGGAGGAGGAAAAACACTGACCCACCGGAAATCGGTAGATCCTTATTGGTGCGCGCAGTTCTCATCGATCGTGATTATACAAAAAGGCTTATTTCCAACAGAAACAAATTTTATAAGGTTTGTGAATCATTAAAAAAAAAAACCATAAAAATATCCTCTTTCGTCTTTTCTATTAGAGGTTTCTTCATCGCCACCTTTGATTTCTGTATCAGTATCATGATCAGAATGTTCACTCTGTATATTTACGTCACTGATTGTCAGATCATCATCACATTCATTTTTAATACGTTCCTCGGTATTACTTACATCTGATAAATTGTTGACAATATCCGCTAATTCAGCTTCAGCTAAATCACTTTGTTATGCTATATCACTTAGTTATTCTGAATCACTTAGTTCTGAGATAACATACGCAACTGGTATCATGGGGTCAAATATGACCCAAACGCAATAAAAATGTAATTAATGCTCAGGATTTAAAACGGAAAGAATATTTTAACGTAGCACATGAAGCTGTATCTTATACTGAGGATATATGTACAGAGCAGTGGGGATTATGAATTTACCTAGCAACCAGAGAATTAACAACTGAAACAGTTGTGAGTCATCAGAGACCCAACGATATCAACTATGAGTTAAATTACTCTTTTAATTACTTGAATGAAGTAAAATAATAATGTTGTAGAGATATTTTATTGTGTGTCATATTATGTTTTTGGTTAATGTAAATTATCTCTGTTTCAATATAATAATAATAATAATACGATTTTTTCTCCATAGGGCCGACATACAAAAACTGGTCAACTGGCAGCCATCAAAGTTATGGATGTCACAGAAGTAAGTAATTTTTTTTAAATTTATGTATAATTTTACTAATACTGATATCGAGGAAATATTAATGGTAATTATAGTTCTAATGCTAGTAGTAATACCAAAACTGTCGTTATAGTATATGTACATACATACACTACCGGCCAAAAGTTTGGAATCACTACGTAAATTAAGAGAAACAGGATATTTCTAAGAAAAATTGAACGCCTACAAAGTAATTGAGGAAGTTTTATTTGTCAAAATACTTATAAGTAGAATATTTTAGATTTTATATTATTTTTTATACGAAGAAATAGATATTTTTCTTTAAATTGCCTTTTTATAAAAAAAACCACCCTTATTTCTAATGACAGCCTGACATATTCTGGGCATCCTGGCAATTAGTTTTTCGAGTATTTTTAACTTTAAATTTTTCCATGCTTCTTGTAGTAGTTGCCTTTCGATGTTGGACAGTGCAACCGGATATTCCGATCGAGCTCTTCCCACAAAAATTCTATCGGGTTCAAATCCGGTGATTGTGTTGGCCATGTCATATTCCTGAAGACCCGCTCTGTTTCTTTTTGCAATAAGAACCCTTTACACAATTTAAATGAATGCTTAGAGTCGTTATCTTGCTGCATAATAAAATTTCTACCTATTAACCGATGACCTGATGGTAGAGCGTGCTGCTCGAGTATCTGTTTATAGTCTTCTTTTTTCATTGTATTTTCTATTTTGACTATGTTTCCCTCTCCAACCGTTGAGAAACATCCCCAGACCATAACTGAACCACCACCATGTTTGACAGTAGGTTTAATACACTCTGGCAACATTTTTTCTTGTACAGATCGGCGAACAAATATCCTTCGGTGCGACCCAAATATTTCGAACTTGGATTCGTCAGTCCAAAGAACCTTACCCCAATCCGTAGGTGTCCAATTTTTGTGGCTTTTTGCCCAATCCAACCGCATTTTACGATTTTTCGACGAAAGCAATGGTTTCCTGATTGTTATACGACCATTTAAACCTGCAGCTCTTAGTCGCCTTTTCACCGTGGCTAGAGATATTGGATTCGGTCTACTATCATTAAGTCCTACACGAATTTCCGAGGCCGTTAGTCGTCTGTTTCGTTCGCAAATAATATTTATTCTCACATCTTCAGCTCTCGACGTGATTTTGGGTCTTCCTGACCGTGGTTTGTCTTTCAAACTGCCGGTATCCGCAAAACGTTTTACTGTACCCTGTACGCCCTTGTATGATACTTTCAATTTTAAGTGTGATAATTGCACTTCGAGTTTCAATACTAATTTCTATTCTTTTTGCCATTTTAAAGTATTAATGTAAAATTTTAGCTGCTGATCACGTTTCAACGCCTTCGTTCACGAGAATGGTGGCAATGTATAACAAATATCCGATTTATACATCTTCTGGGCCCCCGGACCAGCCAATTGGAATCTAATATTGTAACATTCGACGCTTATTGGTAAACAAAAGAATCGCGAATTCCTATATAAGGCGAAAACAGAGTATCTTTCCCGGCAGTAGAAAAGTTCATTCCGAGCGTTGCCTTAAACTGAGTGTATGAATTATATAATAGTATTATGGACATAAGAAAATGCTGAAATCTCTTAAAATATAATTCAACTTGTTAACATCTGACATATTAACGATGGATCATTCCAAAATTTACCGGTATATTCGATTTTGATAGAAATCGGCAAGTGATTCCAATCTTTTGGCCGGTAGTGTACATATGTAGCATTCCCGGGTTAGTCGGAAGGGAGTGGTAGACCCGATTAACCCTTTAGCATACCAAGGTGAAATGATCGATGTTCTTTACCAAGCGGGGTCCTGAAGGGACGCCAGGGTTTTTTATTGTTACCTTAGTTTGTTGTGTATTATTTTTTGTGAGTTTCACTTGTTAAAAATATTTATTTATCTGTAGTTTCTACTCTAGGAAATAAGCTACAGCAATTAATAATGTGCATAAAATAAGAATGATAAAAATATACAATATAAACAAGTAAAAATAAACAGAATAATACAAATCATACAATAAATCACTCACCCTCATTTACTTAGGCACAAACATCGTTCACATAGTGTTATTATTTCAATACAATCATCGTATCAATTCATCAGTTACTGAAAAGAAAAAAATGTAGAAAACTGACATGCGGGAACATAAAGTACGAAAATCATGCAAACCTTTACAGAGGTTTTTAATTCTTTTTCAGAAATCATTTTCATCGATTTTCTTTTCGATCTGTATTTCTTTACTGAAATTGTTAATAAGACAGAAAAATACCAAGCAGTACATTTGTTCCGCTGGTGGTCCGTGGAACATCCTCCCTCCGTTGAGAGAATGTCGATCAATATTAACCGATGAGGGATCGAATGTATTTGTGTATGTGTCTTATGATTAAGGAGTAGTATTCTGGATGACGTAATTGACGTGCTAATGCTAAATAAGATCTAAGCGTATATTACAAAGGATTGAGCGATAAGGTCGCTGCGTCAAATTTTTTCGGATGCTGTTTCCGATTCATCCCTTGGTTGATTGGGCAGTGACACTAGTTTTTTGACGGTCCGATCGAGCACGTTCGTGGCGGTTTCAATAGTCGCTGCACGCACGATACCGTCGAAACCTGGATGGACCTTTAGCACTCGTCCTAGCGCCCAGTCCGTTGGTGGCAGATTATCCTCTCTGAGAAGGACGATTGTACCTTCCTTTATCTGGTGATCGCCTTGTTTCCATTTGCTGCGGATAGTCAGTTCATTCCGGTATTCCCGACGCCAGCGGGTCCATAAATGCTGATTTATTTTCTGAATATGCTGCCAGCTTGAAAGACGGTTGGATGGGGTGTCTCTAAAATCTCGCCCAGGTAGACTCATTAGTGAATCGCCAATGAGGAAGTGGCCTGGTGTAAGGACGAGGAGGTCGTTTGAATCGGATGAGGTGGGAGTGAGTCGTTGGGAATTTAATATTGACTCTATTTCTACGATAAGTGTGTTGAAGTTTTCGAAGGTGAAAAGCTCATTATTACCTGCGACGCGTTTAAGATGGTATTTGAATGATTTGACCGCTGCTTCCCAGAGGTCCCTGAAATGGGGCGCCTGAGATGGAATAAAAGACCATTCTATTGAGCGATCAGTAAGAAACGTTTGTACCTTTTCGCGAAACTCGTTCGAGTGTAGTAGTTTGTGGAGTTCCTGTAGTTCGTTGTTAGCACTGATGAAATTAGTACCATTAACAGAGTGTAATCTGGTACAATGTCCTCTTCTGGCGATGAATCGGCGAAGGGCAGCAATAAAGGCCTCGGTTGTGAGGTCACTTACGAGCTCAAGGTGAACGGCCTTGACGGCAAGACACATGGAAACCGCTATGTATACCTTTATGCGGGTGCGATTTCTGTGTCGCCTTTCCTTTATGCGGTCAGGGACCGCAGAAATCTACTCCAACGTTGGAAAATGGGCGTGATTCGGTTACTCGCGCCTCAGGTAGATTGCCCATGATGTAATTTTTCGGAGGTGGATTAGCGCGACAACAACATACTACACACCTTTTTACCGACTTCCAAACTTGACTTCGACCGTCAATTGGCCAATAACGTTCCCTGATTACGTAAAGGGTAGCTTAAGCTCCTGCGTGCAGGTGGATTCGAAGTTCGTGCTCGATTATGAGTGCTGTTGTTTTGGATTTTGGTAGAATGATTGGATGTTTTTGAGAAAACGGCATCGTGGAATTTTTTAATCGACTTCCGACTCGCAGTATCCCGTCTTTGTCAATGAAGGGTTGAGTGCTTGTAACTTGTCTTTTAAAGTAGTTGCTCCGTCTTTGGTGAGGCATCGCAGTTCATCAGCGAAATGTAATCGTTGTGTCATTTTAATGATGGAGTTGTGTGCGTGGTTAAGTTCTTTAATGGTCAACGTTCCTTTTTCAGTGTTGTTCGGCTTCCATCGGAGATAGCGAGCGATAATCCGTATGAGTTTCGACCAGGATGAATATTTTTCTATTATTTTGACGTCGATGGATGCTGTGGCTAGGCAAATGCTTTGTTTTTGTTCGGGAAGCGGATTCATGGGTGTTATGTCTTGCGTTGGCCAATAGGTTTCGTCTTCGGTAAGCCATTCTGGTCCGTGATGCCAGATGGATGGACGAAGGAATTCTTTGGGCGACTGCCCTCGGGAGATAAGATCTGCTGGGTTGTCGGTCGTCCGGACATGACGCCAGTCTGTGATGTTTGTTCTGGTTTGAATTTCTGAGATTCTGTTGGCAACGAATGTTTTGAGGAGATGTGGTGACGTGTGTAGTCAGTGTAGAACAATGGTTGAATCTGTCCAGAGAATGGTGCGATGCATTTTGATGTGTAATGCCTTCTGCATGGTGTTACTTAACGAAGCGAGGAGTAGTGCTCCGCATAGTTCGAGGCGTGGGATGGTGTGACATTTGAGCGGTGCTACCTTTGATTTTACCGCGAGTAGGTTAACTGGAACCTGCCCCTGTGAGTCGATGGTGCGGAGATATACGCAAGCTCCATATGCTCGCTCGCTCGCGTCACAGAGACCGTGCAGCTCGGTTATTTCAGCGTATGCGGGAATTGTTTTTCGTTGGAAGGCGGCATTGTTCAGCAGTAGTAATTGGGTGTAGTACCTTTTCCACTCGACGTGAAAGCTCTGGAGTAGGGATTCGTCCCAGTCGACCTTAGTGGTCCAGATTTTTTGGAGCAGCATCTTTGCGCGAATGATCACTGGTGCGAGGAGTTCCAACGGGTTATATATCTTTGCGATCTCGGAACTGATCAGATGTTTGGTGATGCGCGATACGGATGTGAAGCCCTAACTGCGTATAGGATAGTGTTGTTGGCAGAATTCCAAACTACACCGAGGGTTTTCACGGTTGAGGATTCACCGAGGTGTAACTTGCGATTAACGTCTTGCTCGGGTAGCCCTTTCAAGAGCTCTATTTCATTGGACGCCCATTTCCGGACGTTCAGGCCTGTCAATTTAAGGAGTTCAGTTAGGTG